GAAAGAAAGAAAGAAAAATAAATAAAAATTGTCAGAAAGAAAAATAAATAAAAATTGTCAGTCAGGTCTTAGTCCTACCTATCAGCAGAACTTGACTGATTTAATCGCCGCCCTAAAACACACATTTCAACTGATTTCCATGACACCCCACCCGCCCATTCTTCTTCCTGAATAACTTGCCTCTCCTGCCAGGCTCCTTCAGTGTTTCCTCGTTATGGTCTAAACGTTGGAGAACCCCAGCAGTCAGATTTCAGACCTCTCCTCTCATCTACACTCACTCGAGTGAGCTCATACGCTCATAAATTTAAACATATCAACAACTCCCAAACCTTCTATCTCTCGCGGGGACCTCTATGTACACAAAATGTGTACATGTAACTGCTTCCTTATCACCTCCCTCTGGATGTCCCAAAGGTATCTCCAACTTAACTTACTCCAGAAACAGCTCTAATGTTCTTCCATCCTGTTTCTCCTTATCGTCCTCCCAGTCTCAGTTAAGGCCGATTCTGTTCTAGCAGCTCAGGGAAGAATGGCCTCTCTCCTCGCTAACCCACGGGTCCCTGGGCTCACTCGCGCGGCCACAGCTGGCAGCTCAGCTGGAACAGCTGGAGTGAGGCGCCGGCCGGGCCGCTCCGCGCGCGGCCTCCTGTCTCCGGCTTCTTCTGAGCCCCGCAGCGCGTCAGTCTCCTTCCGACTCACATTCTCTCAACGTGCGCGTTTGAATCCAGCGTCCTTACCGCTGGAGCAAGCGACGCGGTTAAGAATCCGCGCGAACACGCACCTACGTGCGGGGAAGCGCCTGCGGAGTGGCTGGGCCCCGGCCTGGCAGCTGCCTGCTCCTTCGCCATCGGCAGACTCCAGCCCAGCGGCAGTTCGTGGGCGCTTCGTGCGGCCTGGCGATGCGACCGCGACACTCCACCTTCCCCTCCAACGACAGGGTGACTCCTCAGCTAGTGGTGTTGGTGGCAACATTATTTTCTACGCCAGATTTCCTCAGGATCTCCTTTCAGGTCTCCTTCGTGGCGAAAACCACAAACGTCCCCACCTTTGGAGATTAGAAGTACTTTCCCTCCAGCCTGTGAGGTTTTCCAGTGTTTCGAAACTGGGACTTGTCCAGACCTTTTCATTCCTTAGTTGTTTCTTAAGTTTTCTAATTCTTTCATTTAGGGTTTTTTTTTTTTTGGTTTTGTTTTTTTGTTTTGTTTTTCTTTTTTACTTAATCCCTGTCTTTGCTTTCCTTGGGTTATTTTGATGTTCTTTTTCTAACTCTGTGGACTGAATGTTCAATTCATTTATTTTCGTTCTTTCTTTCTTAGTGACGGGTTTGTACCCGGCAGGATAGGGCGGGGCACTGACAGGGCGCGGGGGGG